GCGGATGTTACGTCCAGGAGGATGTTACGTCCAGGCGGATGTTACGTTCAGACGGATGTTACGTCCAGGAGGATGTTACGTTCAGGAGGGACAAGGAAAGAAAATGGTTTCACACTTGACCTGTTTGAGTTGACTCATGTTTCTTTGCTTTTAAACTGTTTAAATATATATTTTTTTTGCTGACTGTGTTTACTTTGAGTTTGCTGTTTTAAAAAAAATAATAATAAATTGTACCCATCCTTTATGATTGTCCACTCTTGTCATCACTCTTCGTTTAAAATTCAGGTCTCTCTGGTAAATGAGTCCCCGAGGCTCAATGGGATTAATTAAAGGTTGAATTAATGTTACATATGCAATTTTTTTTCAGAGCGTAAAAGTATGTTATTCAAAGTGTTTAGTATAATTTTGCTGTTTATATGTAATGCAATAATAATTGTATGTTTATACTGTTTAAAGACCCCCTCTGTTCTACACAATGTGGTGGGTTGCCAGATGGGCTTGTTTTCATGGAGCTGGTTGCTTGTTTCTATCGCAAGATCTGGCAACACTGGAGTCGGGTGGTCTCATCCATCCTCACGAAGAAGAAGAGCTGCGACACTAACCCCTATATTATATATATATAATTCTATATTATACTATATAATAATATATATAATATTCTGACATCAGTTGATAAATTTATAAACACGTGTTTTTCCTGAAAAGGCCATAATGTAGTTGATTAACGCAAACTGCGGAGGCTTTGATTCAACTGTGACATCTGGAGGTTTTCATTCGTTCTCGGGATTTTTAAAAGTTGTTGCTCAGTAACTCCGTGTTATAAATTCTGCTCGTAATTAAAAGTGCACAGCAAACCTTTACAAACCGAGCTGGCTGGTGAAGCAGCTCTGCACCGAGCTGCACTCGTGTCTGACGCTCACCTACGCCCCCTCCATTGTTTGGGGCCCGTGGCGGAGCTCCGCCGTGAGGCCCTCACACACATCCGCCTTAAAACTCCGATTCTCCCAGAAGTCACGGCGCAGGAATTATTAAGTTTAACGCACGATTTAAAGTGCACGTTAAGCCACTAAAATGGAGCGCAAAGGAGAAAGCAGCGCAGTTTTACTCACGTTTGATATCGCTGTCCTCCTGGTGTAGCTTAGCAACCTCTAAAAGCTCCGCCATGTTTGTCAGACTAACAGGAAATGCTCTGACGTAAACACGTACGCGCTGTACGTAAAATACGTAAGTGTTTTTACGTTAACGCTTATCTACTGGAAAACTTCTCCCTCATAAAGCGTCGCACATGTAGCAAAACGCAGCCGAATTTACAGCACATATGTTTTCTTTAAATTACTTGAAAGATAAATTTATCAGATGATGCGAAGTTTTAAAATATTACGTTTTTCATTAAAGCGGAAATTGAACGTGGCGACGCTTTAAAAACGCGCGCAAGTGAAAAGGTAGTCTTAACGGGAGACTTTTAAACTCAATTTTAGACTCTTCTTCGTTCCAGACATCTAAAGCTGAACAAAGTGTTAATGAGAGCAGCTTCTTTAGAAATTCGGCCGTGTTAGTATTCAGTATATGTGAACACGGAGAATAAAAGAAAACAGATGTAAAGTTGGTAGAAGCGACAATATCTAGCACTTTTTATAAATCTGTAATTCATGAAAACAAACAAAAAAAATCGGATTAGTTCTGAATGTGAAATGACACGAATATGGACAAACTGGAGCTGTAACACTTTTAGATTTTAGGTTTCATTTGCCGCAGCACGGTGGCGCAACGGGTAGAGCTGCTGCCTCTCAGCGAGCAGGTCGCTGGTTCAAACCCCGGTCCAGGGGCCTTCTGGGTGGAGTTTACATGTTCTCTCCGTGCTGTGTGGGTTTTCTCCGGGTTCTCCAGTTTCCTCCCACAGATCAAAAACATGCACGTTAGTCTGACCGATAACTCTAAATTGTCCCTAGGTGTGAGAGAGAGAGTGACTGGTTGTTTGTCTCTATGTGTCCCTGTGATGGACTAGAGACCTGTCCAGGGTGTACCCCGCCCCTCGCACAGTGATTGCTGGACATGGGCACCGGCGACCCCCGTGACCCAAAAAATGGAATAAGCGGGTAAAGAAAATGGATGGATGGGTTTCATTTGCCTGTAAATGACGTCATTCCTGTTGGATCTGCTTTGTTTCGTTTGAGTGGAAAACGAAAGTGTCTGTGAGTATTTAACAGCTGAGCTCCTCAGAGGACAAACTCTTTACAGGAAACAGCTGAACGATGAGGTGAGAAACTCTCGGAGTTTATTCCATTTTTACCTCCTTTTTTATGATAAGATTAAGAAACACCACCTCTCTTTCTCTGTTCAACACTGCTCTGAAAACACATCTCTTTATCCTTAACTCCTTAACTCTGCTCTATGTGTTTTATATTCTGTATGTAATTTATATTCTTTATGTATTTTATATTCTGTATGTATTTTATATTCTTTATGTATTTTA